ATTTATGGGCTGCTCTAAAATAATTTTGCAACAAAAACAATAGTAAAAAAATGTTGAAATGACAACTCTACCCCCGAATTCCGGTAACCCAAAACCCCTGTTCATTTTCTTCTTTTTCAGGCAAAATGCCACAAACAAGTACCTCAAACCCAGCCGTTCTCCTTCTTCCTCACACCGGAGCACAACCCATGAAGCAAACTAGCTTCGAGCTCGCTAAACCCACCAAATACCCGACCCCAAACCCATCAGATCCGCCATCCCCGGCGAGAATCATCACGAAACAACATTGCTGCAACCAGCAGCTCGAACCAGACACAAAACAGCAACCAAATGACCCCCCAAACCCCATGAAAACAGACCCAATGAGCTCCAAGCTAGCAAAACCATTAGGAGGAATTAATTTTGATTCTTGTATATAAATTAAAATTAATTTTGATTTTTTTTAGTTCTAAAATGATGTGTAAAATATTTAATTAGTTGGCAGCCATTGAGTGGCTCACTAATACAAACATGTTAATATGACATAATTTCTCGATCAAGATTCCATCATCTTTTGTTTAGTTTCATCCGCTTCTTTTCATTCTAATTTAGATGATATAATACATTTTTTTTTCTTTTTGTGGAATTGAATTGAATTGACTAAAAAAAGAGATGTGATCCCCTCCATTAAGTTTTTGATTCGTATCTGTTAACACTTATATAAAATTAGTCTATATATATGATTGTTGGATTCAATTTTTACAAAACATATAATTCTTTTAATTTAATGAAATTTTTCCGAATGAACCGAGTTTGTTCTGCCAATAACCAATTACAATGAACATATTTTCTTAAGGTTAAGAAATACTAAAAGTAGAAAAATATTTATACATAGAGAAAATTGATATTTGTTTAATTAAGTTGATTATGAAACTGTAAAGATGAGTTTACTCTCTTCATTAATTAATTTGTTTGATAATTAAAAAAATTATAATATTTATTACATCTCATAAATTACAAAAACCTCCATCATCACATTTTCTACTTAAATGACATATCTCCTCAACTCCTTTCTACGATTCTCTTCATTACCTCTACATTTAGTTTTCCCAAAATATAATGGCTTTAAATTTTAGTCTATCATTTGCACATGAGCTATTCAAGGGTTACATGTAGAACATTTTCACAGATGCATATGTTTTTCTCTATTTGTGGTTGTAAGCTTTTGGTAACAAGACATACTCTAACTTTGTTTTAAAAATTAAAAAAAAAAAGGAAAATACCTCCTTTCTACGATTCTCTTCATTACCTCTACATTTAGTTTTCCCAAAATATGATGGCTTTAAATTTTAGTCTATCATTTGCACATGAGCTATTCAAGGGTTACATGTAGAACATTTTCACAGATGCATATGTTTTTCTCTATTTGTGGTTGTAAGCTTTTGGTAACAAGACATACTCTAACTTTGTTTTAAAAATTAAAAAAAAATAGGAAAATACTACTGTGTTACGTTGTTCTTTTTATTAGTTGGTTGATCCATCCCATGACTTACAAAAATCTTTATCTATTTATATTTTTTACTTAAATAACATGTCTCCTTCATATCCTTTTAGCTAATTCTTTCTCTCTCTTTTTAAGACTTCTTCCCATTTTCTTTCATTTATATAGCATGTATTAAAATTACTCAAAATTAAGTCATTTATCTATTACATAAATGAGCGCTATAAATAACTTTAAAAATGAATGATTTAGTTTCCTAATGACGTTGTGTACATATTCCGTATTCAAAAAGTCATTTCATTTATAATTATTTAACATTGTAAATGAGGGGCAAAAATGAAAGAATTTTTCAACATCTCTCTTAAACTTTGAACAATTCACTTATTTTGAACTATGAAAAATGGCTCAACAATTCACTTATTTTGAAATAGAGGGAGTATATATTATTTATTAACACCCAAGATTTTTAAAGTTTGTACTAAAATAATGAAATATATTTTTCTATTTTTTAACTTTTTAGTAATTAAATAAAACGACCATAGCGAAACATACAAAATCCACACTAAAAATGAATTGACGTACTATTTTAGTGAAATATATTGAGTTATAAAGATAAACGTTTTTATTTGTGTGAAGACGAAAAAGAATTATAAATAATTTCGATATGATATAAAAACAGACAATAGCAAAAACTATTATACAGTAAGAGTCCTACTTATTCTTTTTCTCCTTTTCAACAACAAATAGAAAATTATGAAGAAAATTAAGTTAGTATTTTAAAAAAAAATATAAAACATGTTTTTTCACCCCAACAAAATAATAAGAAAATTATATCTTATAAATTGAAACAATTATGATAAACATTTTAAAGTTTTTATCGAAGTATTGATCATATTTCTTCTTTTTTAGTATGTGCTACTTTATAAAAAAAATTGTCTCTAAAATAGTTATAATGATCGCGCGAAGCGCGAACATGTTAACTAGTATAAAATAAAGATAAAAGATGGAAGAATGATAAGAATTTGAGCACAATGGTTGTATGAATCAATACCCCCAACCACTATATTCTACAAAACACCAATTTTATAGAAAACAAAACACATTACTTATAGGCAATAATAGTTATATCAAAAATCAAAACATAATAGTTATATCAAAATCAAAACCTCTTATTAAGAACACCAAACAAACAATTACACTATAGAGATACCATTAAGAGGAATAATCCTCAAGCAAACAATCTTATCAAACATTGTCAAACAACAAAGGTCTTAGCCTCAAACTTCCTCAAGAATATACTCAATTCATGAGAATTCAACATATCAAAATAATCTCTAAATGATCTATTCTGCACATCTGCAAATATAGTCTAACCTAACTATTACATAAAAGGCCCATATGTCGCACATCAAAGAATTGCAAAAATAGCCTAAATTAGACTGCATGTGTAGTATGTGATGTAGTTTGCGTGAACACATCTCCCACTTGTGGTCGCATCCATTTCCACATCTCCAAAATAATGATCCTTGAAGTTATAAGTTGAATGTGGCTCGAGTTGTGGTCATAACCTCTCACTTGTTATCACATCAAGCTTAGCATCATCAACACCTTGACCTTGAAATTATAGGCTAAATGTGGCTCGAGTTGCGGTCACAATCTCTCACTTGTTGTCACATCAAGCTTAGCATCTCACATAGCAAGTGAGTCCTTCTCCCTATTCCAAGTATTTCTTCAAGCGGAGTCTTGTACTTCCATTTTAATAGATTTTTGAGTTTCATGCATTCATTCCATACACTAATTTCCAAGACTATAAAATAGTGACTCGATGAAAAGTCTACGAACTTCTTAGCTCGGCTTCATATATACGTTTTTGATAAAATTCAAGTTGCATCAATTATATTGGATTTATCATTGTTGTTATTATAATGTCATTCCATTTTGACTAGCACTATTATACAATAAATTAAAGTTAAGAAGAGGAAATAAAGAAGACATTTTGTATGATAGAATACAATAATATATAAGTCAATTTATTCTAGAATGACATTTTAACTACCTTAAGATATATTACAAACATACGTGGTGCTAACGAGGTCCACTAAAATATATTAAGGAAAAGACAAGTTATGTCTTCATACATAGTATTATTATAAAGTTCTTTTTCTAATTAACCAATGATCAGAAAAAGAGATATAAAAGAATGATCAGATACTTTTTCAGCCAATAGGTTAGGTAGCTTCTTATTCATTCCAAGCAAATTAATCAAATACAATATAACATTATGAATTGACAAGATCTTGATTATCACTCACGACTCCTCACTACCATCAAAAGTTATTTCAATTTTATTGAATTTCATATATAATTTAGTGTTAATGACATGATTTATAATCATAAAAATTAAGATAAAAAAAAAGAAAGGAATGATAAGCTATATTATATTTGTAGTATATGAATCTTAAATATCAATTTCGGAGATTTACGAATTTCTTTAAAGCGGAAGTAAATCTGCAGCAATCACAACTCATGTCACTGATTGTCGAAAATTCTCACAAAGTGAATGAATTCGCTTTATCTGTAGCCTGGATATTCTTTAGGGATGCAAAAAGTTTCACAAATAATCCTAACCGTCATTTAATATGAAAATAAATAAATTCTTACACCATGGACTCGACCCAATAATTATTGCCAACAATAAATTATAATTCGTATTTATATTCCTTTCTCTATTTATTTATTACTTATATAGAAGTTATCATTATCGATCTATTTTATGTTGATAGTCAACGCACTATAACCTCTTTTTCCGACTTGAAACTCACTATGTTTCTTGAAGAAATATATAAAGTTTATTGGTTTGACTATGGTGTTATTTTATATTGTGTTGGTTTAATAAGTATAATATTTGAATAATTGTATTGTTTTCTGTTGTAACACTATGTCATGGATCTAAAATCAAAAGAATAACTTATAATAATATTTTTTTTAAAGATACGAGGGAAAATTATTAATAAAAAAATATAGGATAAAAAATAAAATAGAATTATTAAATAATAAATGAAGACAAAATAAGAAAAGAAAATATAACAACGCGATCATATCAAGTCATTACATAAAATGAAACTTTTAATTGTTAAATAACATAATGAATTTAACAATATGATACAACAAATTCAAAAATAATAATCAAAACTAACATTGTATCAGAAAAGTTCAAACAAATGTTATACAATAGATAACAACTAACAACCATCCAAACAACTGAACAAGTATTACTCCCTTCATTTCAATTTATTTGTCTTACTTTTCTTTTTAGTCCATTTCCAAAAAATAAAAAATTCTTTCATCTTTTGTAACAACTCTGTCATTTACTTGTACTGATACATATCAAGTTATAATATATATTATCTTGATTAATAAAAAATAAATTTAAAAAATACTATATAATATAAAGTCCCTCAACAACAATACTGCATAGCAGAAACAAACATTCCTATCCTCACTCTTTTTTTTTTCTCTCCCCATTAAGATCAATGGCTGTGGTAAACTCTCTTTCAACTACCTTTTCTAATTACAAAATCATTCTTTTACTACAAGAACAATAAGGCTGCCTGTCCACAGACAAGTGGTATTTGCAAGTATTCATGACAATATTTCAAACAACATCTCATCATCATCATCAACAACAACAATAACATCAACCAATCCGTGTCAAATCAAATTAACTTCGAAAAATGGGCTTAAGGTATTTTTATTTTTTTTAAATAATGGTGATGGTGGAATTCGATTCCTAAAACTTTTGTCTGCTTTGATATTATATCAAATTATATTAAGCCTAGAGTCTATTTTGATATGTATCAGAATATGACTCATCTCAACTATTATGAATTGATGTTGGACCTTCATATTAAATTGTCCATACATCATATGTCCAGTTTTGGACGTGAAATAGAAATGAATAGTTTCTTTATATGAATTTGAGCAATTCTTCATTCATGAGCTAAGTTTTGAATTGAGTTAAACGCATTTGGTAGAGTATTTCATGATTATCTTTGTTTATTTATCCTTCTTTCTGCTTAGAACGTATTGATTCAATCTAATAAGTAGGAGGACAAATCGTCATCCAATCTATAGATTATGTTTTCAAAATTTTGAAATAATATTTGGAGATTATTTTAAGTAAGTGATTGTTTATCAAACTTACACGTTATTTCAATTTCAAACTTGAAATATGAAATTTAAAGTTTTAAAAAAGATAATTTAGAAGTTTTCACTCAAAAAAACCTCAATTGTGTTTTCATGTTCAAACACAAAAACTTTGAATTTCTAATAGCCTTTATCAACTCAATTTCACTTATTAGTACTATTTTTTTTTTTCAAATATCAATCAATTCATGTAGAAACGTCTACTGATTTTTCGTAATATATTTATTATATGAATATTTAGGTATTTGAAGATAAGTCAACGGGTGTAGTTTGTTATAGAGATGAATATGGAGAAATCACATGTGAAGGATATGATGAAGGCCCTCGTTTTTGTCACCAACCCCCAAAGTCTCCTTCTAAATCAAGGTATATATATGTAACATTATTATTGTAATAATTAGAACATATATATACATATAATATTATTAATACAACCATATGATTAATTTATTTTTGATACTTACTATAACATGTTACAATATTCAGAGATGAAGAGATTGTAGAGCTCCTCCAAAGATTTTGGCTTCATATAGCTGATGATGCTGTGGAATGAAGAGACTTTGTGCATTCTTAACGGGCTAATAATCGACTCGATTATATATGGTTCAAGTTCAAGCTAATTAGATATTGTTATATGAATATTATGTATTCATTTTGTTCTATTCAAAACAGTCAAAGGAGCAAGCATCACATGATCCCACAAACATTGGATCTACCACTTCATTTTAATTGATATCAAACATTACATATAAATCTCATCACCAAATCTTGATCAACTATTACACTTGTATTGAACTTACTTACTATGAAGTGCCATTCAACATTACTAGTAACTTTTGTACTAGCCCTCATCTTGATTCAACTACATTCAGGGCCTAATACTGCTACAGAAGCAGCTCGATTCGTTTTCTCATCATCAGAAACTTTGCCTTCTTCAACATCGCAAAAGCTCAAAGTTGATGAACATGGAAGAATTAGTGAGAAACAACCACTCAAGAAAGTTAAATCAAGCTTTAGAAGAATACCACGAAGCAGATCCAATCCTACGCAAAACAAGTAGTCATTTGCCACTAAAGAAAGTTAAATCAAGCTTTAGAAGAATACCACGAAGCAGATCCAATCCTAATGTATCGCGCGTTGATAGGATGACTGAAAGAAGGATCATAGAGCAAAAAAGAGTGTCTTCAAGGCATTTCTTTTGTTCAATATTTAATGTAGCTTAGCTTGCTGCTATTAGATGTTAGTTTCTTCATAGGACAGTCCACTTAGCATCCAATTTTGTTCATTTGTAGCAACACATAGTTTTCTTAGTAATTTTCACTGTTGTAAACTTTTTTATATCAATGTGCATTTAAGTCCCACCTGTTTTTTGTTAAGTTTGTGACTATGCATATGTATCTTGCTACTTTGTTGTCTCTTTTCTTACAATTCTGCGTCAGATACTTTCCTTTTGAACCAAGGGTTTATCAGGTCGGGGTAAGGTCTGAGTACATCCATAGACCTGGCCACGTGTGACATTACACTGGGTATGTAGTTGTTGTATTCTAATCACTATGCATCTGTATCTTGCTACTTTGTTGTCCCTTTTCTTACAATCCTGCGTCAGATACTTTTGTTTTGAGTCGAGAGTCTATCAGAAACAATCTCACTACCTTAAAAGGTATAGGGTAAGAATCTGAGTATATTCTACCCTTCCCAGACCCTATGTGTGGGATTATACTGAATATGTTGTTGTATTCTGACTATGCATCTCATTTTCTGCTCCGCGCACATTAAACTATGTTGGTTAAGCCATTGACTAGATAGAAATACCAGGATGCACAAAAGATAGAAAAATCACATGCCTAAGGAGATCCCAAACAGAGAAAAATTGATTATTTCAAAATGTTTGTACTTATGTTGCTTCTAATTGATATTCTTATATCCTTCCAACGATATATTATTTGTAAAATTTCAATTTCTGAAAATATCTTTCTAAGGATACATTATTTGTAAAATTCAGATATCGGATTAAGGAGATATCACTGTGTAGTCCATCTCTATGTGCGAGTGATATATTTTTATATCTTTTTTCACGAGACATAGTGTATATCGAATGATAAAAAGTTTTTGGCCAAAAACATCCTTAAACTATACCCCAAACTTAAACAACATCCTTAAAATATCTTTTTTGGCAAAAAACATTCTCTAAGTATTTGAAAGTTAACAATTTCCTTCCTTCTGTTAGATATCGTCAAAAAACTAAGGGATCCTACAAAAACATGAGCCGTTCACGTGACTATCAACAAAAGTTTTCCTGCATAATTTCATTGCCTGCTATAAGAAGTTCCTGAAAAAAAAATTAAAAATCTTAGACACCATTGGTTACTGAAACAAAAAATGTTTGGAAGGTGTGAGGATACATGATCTGCTCTTTTCCTCATTTAGTAACGGAAGAAGCTGGAGCTTAGTTATCTTTACCTTTTTCAAAGGCAAATTATATTTAGATCAATAAATTTTTGGGCAATCTAATATTGAAGTGATCAAAATATTGATTATGTCTCGCATTTGAGTTTCATTCTACATTATTAGAAGCGGAAGTCACCAACAAACGCCTCTTCTAACATATTCAATTAAGAAGAAACATATTTCAACTAATAATATTTTTAATATCAAATTACATGAAAAAAATATTGTCAAATCAAAAGATTTTGAATAATGCTAAACTCAATTACCGAAAAAGTTCACGATAGTATTTTTGGCCTATCTTAGAATAATAATTAAGAAGGGATGACTTCATTTTCGTGAGATCTGTTAGTTTTCTGATAAATTCTAGTAGAAGGATGAAAATTGTTCACTTTAAAATACTTGAAGGATGTTTTCTACTAAGAATGATACTTTAAAGATGTAGCTTAAGGATGATTTTGACCAAAAACTCAACGATAAACAATTTAATCATTTAGAACTATCATACTGATTAATTTTGCAAGAAATATTTGGTATACTTAAAGTTCATGTGATGAAAGTAAGACAAACATCAACTTTTAAACAAGACAAAGTAGAGAAAATGATCAAAATGGTCCGATGTATTGGGGTTACTTTGTTTTGGTCCTTAATATATTCTAGGTGATTGAAATAGTCATTCATGTATGATAAAATGTGTTCAATTTAGTCTTTTACCCTAACCTTAACAATTTATTCCCAAAAATTGTTAAATATAACTGTGGGGCCCACATATCTTACAAAATCCACTATTTTTACCATCTTTATTAGCTCAAAGAAAGAGTTTCAATCTTTTTATAATAATTATTTTGTAATTGTATGGTTAGATGTTAGAGAAAATAGTGTTTTAGAATTCATGAAACTCTTTCTTTGAGCTAATAAAGATGGTAAAAATGGTGGATTTTGTAAGATATGTGGGCCCCACAGTTATATTTTAACAGTTTTTGGGGATAAAATTGTTAAGTTTAGGGTAAAAAACTAAAATTGAACACATTTTGTCATACATGAAGGACTATTTCAATCATTCTAGAATATATTAAAGACCAAAATAAAGTAACCTCAATACATCAAGGACCATTTTGATCATTTTCTCAGACAAAGTACATCGATGTTAATTCAGATACATATATTTTGCGACGATTCTACATATTGTGTTTGCGTTTATATGTTGGATCGATCATGATTTTATGAGTTGATTTGTCATCCCTGCTCACTTTATGGTCCCAACAATGTCATCGTTCATCAAGTACCTATCTAAATATATTCATAATTATAAATTATCTATAAATTTGAACAATTATAAAAAGCAGACCTGAAACCACGTGACAACTTGCATTCAGTATCCATTAATAATTTTACATGCTTCTCCTATTATATTCATCCCTTCAAAAAGCATCTCCTTTGTTTTAAGTAATTATTTCCCGTCTTGGTGGTCCAAACACTTATTATTTAATAAATCTCGTTTTGGTACACATTGACCAGGAATCAACAAGACAATATCACTGACAAAAGAGGATGCTCGAATGAATGTGTGGACATATTATGATAGATATGATTAGGAATGATGTTATATGGGGTAAGGTGAGAGTGGCCTTTGTAGCGAATAACATGAAGGAAATGAAAATAAAATGGTTCGAACAAGTTAATAGGAGATGTGTGGATGCACTAGTAAAAAGGTGTGAAAGGTTTTTTGTAGCAGAAATTAGAAGAGGTAAAAGTAGGCCCAAAAAAACTTGAAAGAGATGATTAGACATGCACGACATGACACAATTTCAGTTCTTGTCTGAGATCATAAACTTAGATAAAAGGGTTTGAAGGTCGAGAATAATTAGGGTAGATCAAGATTAGAAGATACCCGAGTATAGTGGCACTTTATGTGGGAGAGGTAGGGGGCTAGCCACCTCCTCTCCTTATTAATACTATTATATTTAGTAGTCACATAATATCTCTTTTATGGTGTCCTATCTATCGAGAGTTCAATTCAACATCATAAATTTTTTTGTTTTTGTGTGGGAGAGCTATTAACAAAATTACTATTTGTTGCTTTAATATTTGTTTTGTATATCTTGTTATTTTGCGGTCATATTTTTTTTGTAATTTTACTTTAGGAATATTTATTTTGAGTTGATGGTCTATCGAAGGTAATCTATTTGCCCCACAAAGATAAGGATTTGATTTGCGTACATCCTACCCTCCTCAAATCTCACTAGCTTAATTATGGGATGATTCAATATCAAATACAAAAAAAACAAAGAATATAAAATAAAGATAAGAGATGGAAGAATGATAAGAATTGAGCACAATGGTTGTATGAATCAATATCCCCAACCACTATATTCTACAAAACACCAATTCTATAGAAAACAAAACACATTACTTGTAGGTAATAATAGTTATATCAAAAATCAAAACATAATAGTTATATCAAAATCAAAGCCTCCTATTAAGAACACCAAACAAGCAATTACACTATAGAGACACCATCAAGAGAAATAATCCTCAAGCAAACAGTCTCATCAAACATTATCAAACAACAAAGGTCTTAGCCTCAAACTTCCTCAAGAATATACTCAATTCATGAGAATTCAACATATCAAAATAATCTAAGTCTAAATGATCTATTCTGACTTATTTATAGTCTAATCTAACTATTACATAAAAGGCCCATATGTCGCACATCAAAGAATTGCAAAAATAGCCTAAATTGGACTGCATGTGTAGTATATGATGTAATTTGCGTGAACACATCTCCCACTTGTGGTCGCATCCATTTCCACATCTCCAAAACAATGATCCTTGAAGTTATAGGTTGAATGTGGCTCGAGTTGTGGTCATAACCTCTCACTTGTTATCACATCAAGCTTAGAATCATCAACACCTTGAACCTTGAAATTATAGGCTAAAGGTTGCTCGAGTTGCGGTCACAATCTCTCACTTGTTGTCACATCAAGCTTAGCATCTCACATCGCAAGTGAGTCCTTCTCCCTACTCCAAGTATTTCTTCAAGCGGAGTCTTGTACTTCCATAAATAGAGTTTTGAGTTTCATGCATTCTTTCCAAACACTAATTTCCAAGCCTATAAAATAGTGACTCGATGAAAAGTCTACGAACTTCTTAATTAGCTCGGCTTCATATACAAGTTTTTGATAAAATTCAACTTGCATCAATATTCATATTGAATTTATCAATATTGTTGTTATTATAATGTCATTCCATTTTGCCTAGTACTATTATACAATAAACGGAAAAGGGTTAAAATTGCCCCTGAACTATGCGAAATAGACTACTTATACCCTTCTTTACATTTTGAGATAAAAAATACCCCCGTTGTTATCCCTAGAGACCACAAATACCCCTACAAAAGTTAATAACCCAAATTGTTAATGACATGGCAAACCATGTGGGACTGATCTCTCCACCTAAGCTGCCAACTAGGATTTCCAACAATTAGAAATCCTTCTAAAATTAGAAATAAATCTTTTATTTTTAATTACATAAAAACTATTTATATTTTTAATTAAAACCTTTTATTTTTAATTACGTAAATATTTACCACTCTTTATTAATATTTATATTTATTGCCGTTAAAAGTTATTTTTTCATCGTAGTTTAACTATTAACCAAGTATATTTCCACTTGATAAATAACTAATATATAATATATCTAACTTGATAGGATGATTTTTTGGTATAACATACCTATATCATCTGTATGTATGAGGGGAAATTTACGGCTCAATAATATTAACTTTGTTCTTGTTTTTTTTTGTTGGATTAATACAATTTTAGGAGATTTAGATTAAAAAAAAAAGTTAGTGGCAATCCTAATTGGCAGCTTAGGTGGAAGGATCAGTCACACATGGCTTGCCATGTCATTAAAAATTTGGGTTGTTAACTTTTGAGGGGTAGTTGTGGTCTCTACAGATAAGAGTGAGGGTATTTTTGAGCTCAAAATGTAACGGAGGGTATAAGTGGTCTATTTCACATAGTTCAAGGGCAATTTTAACCCTTTTCCGTACAATAAATTAAAGTTAATAAGAGGAAATAAAGAAGACGTTTTGTATGATAGAATACAATAATATATAAGTCAATTTATTCTAGAATGACATTTTAACTACCTTAAGAAGTTGTTATATTACAAACATACGTGGTGCTAACGAGGTCCACTAAAATATATTAAGGAAAAGACAAGTTATGTCTTCATACATAGTATTATTGTAAGTTCATTTTTCTAGTTAACCAATGATCAGATAAAGAGATATAAAAGAATGATCAAATACTTTTTCAGCCAATAGGTTAGGTAGCTTCTTATTCATTCCAAGCAAATTAATCAAATACAATATAACAATATTAATTGACAAGATCTTAATTATCATTTATGACTCCTCACCACCATCAAAAGTTATTTCAATTTTATTGAATTTCATATATAATTTAGTTTTAATGACATGATTTATAATCATAAAAATTAAGATTAAAAAAAGAAAGGAATGATAAGCTATATTATATTTGTAGTATATGAATCGTAAATATCAGTTTCAGAGATTTATGGATTTCTTCAAAGCGGAAGCGAATTTGTAGCAATCACGATTCGTATCACTGGTTGTCGAAAATTCTTACAAAGTGAATGAATTCCCTTTAGGGATGTAAAAAGTTTCATTAATAATCCTAACCGTCATTTAATATGAAAAGAAATATTTTCTTACACCATGGATTCGACCCAATAATTATTGCCAACAATAAATTATAATTCATATTTATATATATTCCTTTCGCTATTTATTTATTACTTATATAGAAGTTATCATTATCGATCTATTTTATGTTGATAGTCAACGCACTATAACCTCTTTTTCCGACTTGAAACTCACTATGTTTCTTGAAGAAATATATATAGTTTATTGGTTTGACTATGGTGTTATTTTATATTGTGTTGGTTTAATAAGTATAATATTTGGATAATTGTATTGTTTTCTGTTGTAACACTATGTCATAGATCTAAAATCTAAAGAATAAACTTATAATAATATTTTTTTTAAAGATACGACGGAAAATTATTATTAAAAAAATATAGGATAAAGAATAAAATAGAATTATTAAACAATAAATGAAGACAAAATAAGAAAAGAAAATATAACAACGCGATCACATCAAGTCATTACATAAAACGAAACTTTTAATTGTTAAATAACATAATGAATTTAACAATATGATACAACAAAATTCAAAAAATAATAATCAAAACTAACATTGTATCAGAAAAGTTCAAACAATGTTATACAATAGATAACAACTAGGGGTGTACATGGCCGGGTTGGTTCGGGTTTTTCAATTATTAAACCAAACCATTTGTGTCGGATTTTTAAATTTATAAACCAAACCAAACCAATAAAACTTGGGTTTTTCAACCTCGGGTTTTTTCGGGTTTTTCGGGTTGTTTCGGGTTTTTCTGGTAAAGTATTCATACAAACATATAATTTACTTGTACTTCAAATATTTCTTTAGTCTTACCAAAATACAACACAATAAGTTGTTTCTTAAAAATATGACACAATATGATATGATTAATGACACTAAAATATCCAACAAAAATAATAATAATGAAATCACGTAAAACAAATATTGCAAATTAACAAATCATAATGAAAATGATCATAATTTAAAAGTACTAAATCATGCTAAAATTAAGTTTGATAAGTATCAGTTACATGGCTAAATATTAAAGAAAATTAAAATTATATTATGTATTTTAATTGTCTAAACCAATGTAAAACTAAAGAACAAATACTCAATATTATTGTCATTCTTAGTGTTGAATTGATTTTCTTTTTGTATTAGTATTAATTTGATTTTGATATAAGCTTTATTATAATTATCAACATGTACATCTGTGGACTATAATCTTTATTGGCCCATTCATAATTCTAAGTTTCAAACTTGAAATAATATATTAAAAGATAAAAAACTATAGAAAAGTATAAGAAATATTTAAAAATTATATCAAAGTAAATATTTTTATGTATAAAATAAATTTTAAAATTATATATATAAATTCGGGTTGGTTTGGTCTCGGGTTGATTTTTTTTAGTTAAAACCAAACCAACCCAAATATAGTCAGGTTTTTTTTTCAAAACCAAACCAAGTCAAACCAAACCACTTGTCGAGTTTTTTTTTCGGGTTGACTCGGTTTGCGGTTTGGTTCGGTTTTGTACACCCCTAATAACAACCATCTAAACAACTAAACAAGTATTACTCCCTTCATTTCAATTTATTTGTCTTACTTTTCTTTTTAGTCCATTTCCAAAAAAACAAAAAATTCTTTCGTCTTTTGTAACAACTCTGTCATTTACTTGTACTGATACATATCAAGTTATAATATATATTATCTTGATTAATAAAAAATAAATTTAAAAAATACTATATAATATAAAGTCCCTCCAAAGTCCCTCAACAACAATACTGTATAGCAGAAACAAACATTCCTATCCTCACTCTTTTTTTTCTCTCCTCATTAAGATCAATGGCTGTGGTAAACTCTCTTTCAACACCTTCTCTAATTACAAAATCATCTTTTACTACAAGAACAAAAAGGCTGCCTGTCCACAGACAAGTGGTATTTGCAAGTATTCATGATAATATTTCAAACATCTCATCATCATCATCAACAACAATAACATCAACCAATCCGTGTCAAATCAAATTAACTTCGAAAAATGAGCTTAAGGTATTTCATTTTATTTAATAATGGTGATGGTGGAATTCGATTCCTAAAACTTTTGTCTGCTTTGATATTATATCAAATTATATTAAGCCTAGAGTCTATTTTGATATGTATCAGAATATGACTCATCTCAACTATTATGAATTGATGTTGGACCTTCATATTAAATTGTCCATACATCATATGTCCAGTTTTGGACGTGAAATAGAAATGAATAGTTTCTTTATATGAATTTGAGCAATTCTTCATTCATGAGCTAAGTTTTGAATTGAGTTAGATGCATTTGGTAGAGTATTTCATGATTATCTTTGTTTATTTATCCTTCTTTCTGTTTAGAACGTATTGATTCGATCTAATAAGTAGGAGGACTAATCATCCAATCTATAGATTTTGTTTTAAAATTTTGAAATAATATTTGAAGATTATTTTAAGTGATTGTTTATCAAACTTACGCGTTATTTCAATTATGAACTTGAAATATGAAATTTTAAGTTTAAAAATAGATAATTTAGAAGTTTTCACTCAAAAAAAATCTACTGTGTTTTCATGTCCAAACACAAAACTTTAAATTTCAAATAGCCTTTATCAACTCAATTTCACTTATTAGTAATAATTTTTTTTCCAAATATCAACCAATTCATGTACAAACATCTACTGATTTTTCGTAATATATTTATTATATGAATATATAGGTATTTGAAGATAAGTCAACGGGTGTAGTTTGTTATAGAGATGAATATGGAGAAATCACATGTGAAGGATATGATGAAGGCCCTCGTTTTTGTCACCAACCCCCAAAGTCTCCTTCTAAATCAAGGTATATATATGTAACATTATTATTGTAATAATTAGAACATATATATACATATAATATTATTAATACAACCATATGATTAATTTATTTTTGATACTTACTATAACATGTTACAATATTCAGAGATGAAGAGATTGTAGAGCTCCTCCAAAGATTTTGGCTTCATATAGCTGATGATGCTGTGGAATGAAGAGACTTTGTGCATTCTTAACGGGCTAATAATCGACTCGATTATATATGGTTCAAGTTCAAGCTAATTAGATATTGTTATATGAATAATATGTATTTATTTTGTTTTATTCAGACTCATGATAGCTGTCATTGTAAATAAGGAATGATATTGACTTGCCTTTTATTTTCTTACTAGTTACTTTCAACCTAATGTTTTTTGCTTCCAACCCCCCCCCCCCCACAACACACACACACCTACCCCTTTTTTTCATTTTTTATTTTTATTTTGGGCTCTCACCGACTTTTGATATAAAATTCAAACTTGAAATTTCTCATTTAAAAATTAAATTATTAAAATAGACATAGTTTAATTTATTTAATTATATCAACAATACGCTCACGTATGTGTGGATCAGATTCTTTTTATGAACCTAACACGTGAAAGTTTTTTTTGATAATAGGTGTGGTGAGGCGAAACTCAAAACTTTCTTTAAGTTGTGCGAGTGTGTGACTAACTTAAGTCTAAGTTATTAAAAGAATAATTAACCCAATTAGCAGCCCATTATTGAGATAAACTCAAAATACACTACTAACAAAACGTAAAACTCCAACGGAATCCGTAGATATTTTTATAACTTTTTTTAAAAAAAAATGACAGGCATCCATTGGTTATTTTTCGCGTAATAATTATAAAAAAATTAATTTTTTCTTAAGAAAAACCGACAGAGTTTTTCACTTTGTTTCTCTTTTTTTTTTTGTTGCAAAAATCGAGGGACTGTATCGCTATTTTAATTGCAAAATTGCATGCATTTGAGGAATATAAATTAAAAACAACGATAGTATTTAAAAAAAAAAGCATTTGTAGACCAATGGAAAGTGCTTACTACTGTAAGAATTGTACCAAAAACAACGAAAAGTATTTGAATCATTTGTCGACTTAGCAAGGGGTGAAGGAACCTCTCAAGAGATTGGAGGAAAAAAAAATGTTCTCGAGAGGGTTTGAGATGAATGAGATTCATTCACTCTTATGTAGAAGTGTCGTTTGAATCCTCAGAATAAGTAATCTCTAATCGAGAGTTCTTCCTCCATCAATAGACTATACGGAAGACAAATCTAAATTAATTGAGTTTGTATTATCAGATATATAAACCAAATGGATCAATTGGTTGGATGTAATCTCTCAACTTTTAACCCAATGTTTTTGGTTTGAGCTTGAGAAAAGAGGAACACTTTGGTCGAGATTGTTTTAAGGAAGGTGATTTGCTAATCGAATCAAAATAAATCCTCACCCTAAAAAGAAATTGATAAACAATTTGGTCGGGGGCACTTTCCCTATAAGGAAGTTTTAAATAAATTAGGAATTTAAAGTTCCTCCTCCTCCTATAAAGAATGTGAATTATTGATCGAACTCAAATAAATTGCCTCCCTTAAAGAGAATGGAGAAACATTCTTGTCGGAAGTGCTTTCTGTGGTAAGGATGTTTTGAAGTAAACTAATAATCAAGAGAATCTTTTCCTTGCATAAGAAACATAATTTGCTGATCGAATTAAAATAATTCGTTTTCCTAAAATAGAATCACTACTAAAAAACGGGTATGGGGTGACAAATTTAATTAATATTGGGTGACGAATTAGTGACGAAAAAAAGGTCGCTCGATTTTTATTTTTTTAAAAAATTCTATTATATACTGACGAAAAAATCCGTCATTAAAATTTATTCTAAATAAATACATTTATTTGAAAGTGACGGACGTTATAATCCGTCATTAAACTCGTTACAATATTTTTTAAAGTCATATATTCTAGGGCATAAAATTATTTCAAAGAAACTCACTCTTTCACTCCAAAGCCTCTCTTTCCATCTCCAATGAAGCTTTCATCTCTTTCCATCTCCATCTCAATAGGTAAGCTCCCAAACTCTTATCTCCATTTCAATTTCATTTAGCTCTCCATCTAACTCTCAATTCTTTTCATTTTATTTAGCTTGAAATGAGGGATTTTAACAGTTTGGGAGTTTTGAAAATAGGAATTTTAACAGTTTGGGTGTTTTGAAAATAAGATATTTTAACTCTCAACTCTTTCAATTTTCATTAGCTCGAAGTAAGGTTGGGCTTTTCTCAAAATAGGGGCAATTTGAGTATTCTGAAAAGAGGGGTTTTTAGAAGTAAAGTTTTTTGAAAATAGGGGTTAGGGTTCAAACAAGAATTTGGGGTTAGGGTTCAAACAAGAATTTGGGCTTAGGGTTCAAGCATTTTACATTGATTTATTTTATTTTCTTTTGTGAAGTAGATTACACACTGATTTGTTTTTGTTTTACACAACAACTAACTTTCATTGTTTGTGACTATTGACTACCGACTCTTTCTCTTAGGTAAAAGGTATATCTCTTTTTCTCACTTGCACAATAGTTTTTTTTCCAGAAAAATGTGTTGATATATAATTTTTCTGTTTATACTTTTGTTTGGTTCATTTTTTGGTAATAAATAATGTTAGTGTAATATTGAATCTAGTGCTAAAAAGCTGCTTCTGGTTGATTTTGGTATTCCGATTTAGGATCTTTTGAACTTGTCTGATACATAACTTCTTTTTGATTTTGCGATTGATATTCTAAAGCGGTTGTTTATGTTTTTCTCACTTGAAATGTACTCGAGTTGAGAGTTTATTAATATAGCCTCTCTATTTAAGCCAAAAATATCATATTAGACATTAATAATCTTCAAAATTTTCTGTTCAAGGAGAGAATGATCAGTTTATACACTATAAAGTCTAGGCTAGATGTGGTACAATGAGTTGCTGCTTTACAATCATTATGTATATGTGGGCTAGACTATCAACTATGAACTTTTCAAAATTATGGTTAGTCGCTAAACACTTAAATTCAATTATGTGAACTCATTATAAATTATGCAAAACTTCATGTCTCGACCCAGACCGTCGTGATTAGCACCCACACTAACCCTCCGGTGGGAGAACCATAACTACTAACCAACTAACAATTTAAAGCTATCGAAGCAGGTTTAAATAACTAAATAAGGAAGTTCCCATAAACTTCAACAAAAGATCTAACAACTAAACTAAACAAATGCGGAAGAAATAACCTAGAACCTGAAAGTCAATGTACCAAAACTCTAACAAGATTCATAAATCTAAACAAGAAAATCATCTAAAGAACTAGTCTAAGTCCGAATAGGATGGACTAAACAAAAAGAGAACTCAAGGCAGCCCGGAAGAACTAGCTCACCCTTGAATTCGAATCGGCAATCACTGATCTTCTAAGCGAGGTCTGTCAAAAGCTGCCGAAAGATGCCCTGTACTTAACAAAATAAGAGCAAGTGCAGTATCAACACACAATCACCGTGTACTGGTAGGATCACGCGGCTATCCCAATAAGTGAAACACATGCAAGTAACCCCAACATTATAAAACAGACATATACCGAACATATACAATATTAGTCATCTTTTCATAATCAATGTAACATTCCATGTTCTCAATAATACACATTGGTTATCACATGCTCAACAATATACAGTCTTCCAATATCAATCATCATTAGATATAAACGTAATCATCACAAGTAGAGATACACAACATAATTCAATGGTCCTCTCACGGAACCCAATTCAATGGTCCTCAACGTGGTACCCAATCCAATGTTTATGTCGGAACACGGCAACCGATCCCATATTTATGCCGAAACGTGGCAACCGATCCCATTCATACACCACAATCACAATCACAATGTGTATTCTCACAATCATACAACAAGTGATGATTCATGGCAATCATCATTCATTATCTTAGTTACAACAAGTGTGATCAACATTGCAACGTTCATATTCATACAAGTATCATAATGAAGCAAGAACAATCATATATCACACAATCATAGAATCACAACCACCACCTACCTCGAATCCAAGCTTGAATCCCATAAGACACTTGAATCTTCCCTTTTCAAATTCTTTCTGTTTGTTCTAGGTCTACAAATAATTAATATACGCAAGGATCAACAATCAATGATCTAATTATCCAAATTATAACAAACCCAATAACCCTAGACCGAACCCAAGATCCTAATACCCAATTTAGGGCTTTTTCCATCATTAGTTTCAGATCAAACCCCTCCCCCAATAGTAATTAACCAAGAATCCAAATTCTACGGATCGAAAAATGGATTAGGGGAGTAAAATCCTTATCTTTAGTGCAAGAAGAGGTGGAAAACCTTCAAGAAATAGCCCTAGGTCGTTTCTTAGCTCTTAAGAACGAACTTTTGCAGAAAATAACGTTTTTAGGATTTTATTTCCGATTTAAATCGCGTCTATCCCGCTACAGCGGGATCCATCCCTCTACAGTGGCCCTGCGCTGGCGGCACCAATCCCGCTCTGGCGGCCTACACGGAGACAAGATGTTACCCGTTCACGCTAAAATCATTTTCGGGAGTTCTACTCGCCCAAATTCGATTCCGTAAAGTCGTACGGGTTCCTTAACGTCTTAGCTATCTACTCATGTGGTCCAAATCATAATTAGGTCTCTCATTCATTACCATATTTCCCTAAACCCTACTGACTCCGATTTCGTCTAAATCTGGACTAGGTTAGGGGATTCCAAATTAATACTAAAAGTTTTCTGACTCAAATTCTTTCTCCATTGATTTTTCCCTAACAACGGAAATCAGATCGTTACACATCAATAACATAGTAATAAAATGAAATAAGGGATATTTCAAAGTCCTGAAATAAGCTTCAATAATCTGCTAAAATAAGGAACTTCTCAGAGTGCATTTAGAAACTACATTGAATAAGCTCCCATGGAAATGAGATTATTACATATGGTCTAAAAGGCAAGTAAAAAGCAATAGAGTGATAAGTAGAATAAATAGGACACTACATAATTTAATTTGGTTATTTCAATATGGATACGTAAGAACTGAATATGGAAAATCAATCTCTCCTGAGCATTCCTTTATAGTGTTTAACTTGAGCCAGAACACCCATTCCATCAATCCTCCTTTCATATTTTTAACACTTAAAATAGTTTCACTCAGTAGTAGAGTGATATAAGGATTGTGTTATTAAAATTGAAGAAACTTAAATCACTATTCAAACAACTAGATAGTGAGTCTTATAAAGGGATAAGTTGAATGCATCTAGACAACAACTCATTCCACTTAATTTTTATTTATACTGTTAT